TCGTCTAGTGAAGAGTCTAGTGAATCAAGTAATGATTCAAGTGACTCAAGCTCCTCGGAAGAGTCAAATGACGAGGAAGATGAAGAGAAGGCAATGAGAATGAAGTATACGGATTTCCTCAAATGGAAGAAATATGTGAAGAGGAAAGAAGTATATTCAAAGCCGAAGAAAGAGCGGCATAAGCCAAGGTAAGTTCTTCTAGCCTTTTGGGATAAGATATTTTGTTTGGTTTTAATTATTTTCAAAAATGAAACCTTATCCCATACATGTTTTTATTTGCTTTAGCCTTGGTTTGCATGATTAAATTTTATTTCATCTTTAAATCATGCATTTTAGAAAATATTCCCCAAAAATACCTGAAAAATAAAGTTTTTAAACTTGCATCATTTTAGGGGGAGTTTTCATTTTTAGGGGAAGTTTCGTTGTAAATGCACCGTTTGCCCAATGATCTCCAAACTATCATTTTTATTTAATTCATGTTGATAGGGGGAGGGTTTCAAGAAGTTTTACATGGTTAAAAATTTTCAAAATGCCCTTTTTGATTTTGACAAAAGGGGGAGAAAATGTATACTTCAAAGTGGTGCATATGCAACTTGACTTGAGTGCATTCTTGTGAAACTATTTGCATCAAACTTAAACTTTTACTAAACACAAGAAAAAGTTCAAAGTGAGTATTTTAAATATGCTTATTCTTAGGGGAGCTTGCTTGCTTCATTTTTATACTCCCGCCTAACTCACTTTGAAGTATATTGTTTTCAACATCAAAAAGGGGGAGATTGTTAGCCTTGGTTTGCTAAGCCTCATGTTTTGATGTTAACAAACAGTATAAGAGCTTGACGTTTGTTTAAGTGTTTCAGGTACAACAAGAATCCATTAAGATTCGGTACTAAAAAATGAAGTCGAAACACCAAACTAACATAGAATATAGGTAGAATCCAATGTAAGAATATGATTTTATATACCTATATTCACAAGCTCAAAAGCACTCACAAACTATGTTTAAAACCGTCCAATAAACGTTTTCAAATACCCAAAAGGTTTTAAACTCAAACACGATGGATTTCGGGAATTTTGGAAAAATCAGGACAGTAGCACGGTACCCCTAGCGGTACCCCAAACAGTAGGGTACCGCCTACACGGTACCCCCATACCGTGTAACGGTACCGGGTATCGGACGCTAGGCAGAGACGGTTGGCCACCCCTGTCCTAACCATGTACCGCCAAAGGCGAACCAAACTTTTGTCTTACACGGTACCCCCAAATGGTAGGCCATACCGTGGGTCACGGTACCTAGGTACCGGACGGTACTGACCCTACCGTGAAGGGTACCGGATCCGTTGGCAGCACTATTCCTGATTGCAAATTTTGAAGTAAATCAACCCTAATCACCTCCCAACGGCTAATTAACATCTTCAACTATAAATACAAGCCTAATCCTTCATATTTCTTTAAGAAACAAAGCTCCAAACATCCTTATTTAATATTCTAAGTGTGTTCACTCCTTTATTAATTATTTTCTATATTTTGGCTATTTTAAGAGCCTTAAAGTTCCTGATTTTTATACACACACTTTAAGCTTGTGTTTCTAGTTATATACTCTCATATTCATAAGTTTGAATAGTATTTTTGAGAGAGTATACCTTCCTTCTACACCGGCTAAGTTTTGTTCTTCATTTTTATATTCAAGCCGTTGTGTAGAACTCTTGTTTGTCTTTCTCAAACACAACTTCTTACGGTCGAGAATAGCCGTTAAATTCTCAGGTTGTAACGGTTAAGGATAGCCGTATAAATCCTTGGGTAAAGGTTCAAGGATAGCCTTTGAAATCCTTGGGGGAACGGTACGAGATAGCCGTTGTAAAATCTCGGAGTGAATCCTATTGGCAAGGGTTGTTTGCCAAAGTAGTGTGGTGCTTTGACGGAGTTCAAGAGGCCAGAACTTAGTGGATTCGGAAATCCTTGAGGAGGAGCCTCAAGGTACTAGAGTAGGGAGTTCCCGAACCAGTATAAAATCGGTGTGCATTCACTTTACGCTTTTACTTTTGCATTTTTATATTGCTTCCGCATTTGCCTACATCGTTTTTATTAAACTCCAAAAAGTTTTTAAACGCCTTATTCACCCCCCTCTAAGGCGTGGGCACAACGACTAAAACGATTAACAATTGGTATCAGAGCGGTTTCGTAGTTGAAAGTGCTTAATTGCATCTACGACAAAGATCCACTTGTTGTGTTCCTTTTAAATTTGAATTTTAAGATCTCAAAACGTTATCTACCCTATTTTTTTTAAATTCAAGTTTATTGAAAAATGGCTCAAATGGATTCCCAAAGCATTCACCGCCCTCCATTTTTCAATGGTCAAAACTATTCTTATTGGAAAATGCAGATGGAATACTTTATTCAATCCATTGATTTTGATTTATGGTTGAATATACTTCACGGGCCATTTGTGCCGAGTAATGGTGATTTTGCAGGATTATCTTCGGAGGACAAGAGAAAATTATCCATGAACGCAAAGGCAATCAATATTCTCCATTGCTCTCTCGGCCCCGATGAGTTTGCACGAGTATGTTCATGCAAAACGGCCAAAGAGGTATGGGACTTGCTACAAGCTACTCATGAAGGCGACATCTCAACCAAGCAAACGATGATTGCCCTTGGGAACTCCGAATACGAGTCCTTCAAAAAAGGGTCAAGTGAGACAATCCAAGACATGAACAAGAGGTTCAACGAGATTGTCAATAAGTTGAGTAAGTTGGGTAA